ACAGAGAGGTGTCTTTGTCCAGCTGTTTTCCTTTAGGATCTGTCTTTGAAGTTTTTTTGTTCAAGGATGGTCACCTTGAAATCAGAGCATCCTGAGAAACTAAGCATTCTCCCGCTGGTTCCTCACTATTACTCTGATGTAAGACTTTTATCCACTTATTATATTTATCACACTGGAGGATGAAATGGTAAACCATTCTAAACCCCTGGTGTGAAACCCTGTTGCTTAGCATATCACTAGGGATATGGTAAGCTGACTCCTCCATAAGTTCCATTGATTCAAATGGATCTACTCTAATTGATATGAATCAATGGAACTTATGGAGGAGTTGGCTGACCAAATCACCATTGATTTAATGGGCCTAATTTGGTGTCACTTACTAAGCAAAGCAACAGAACTTCAGTGAATATATTATTGGGTCCTAAAGTCACGTTTCCAATATGGACAGTGAGGATAGAATAGGCATAGGGGTTCTCGTGTCAGTACATACTTCTCTTGTGAGAGATATTCTTGCTAGTGAAAAATTTTTACGAATTGGGTGGCTGTTTGAAAGTAAGTATGAGCTTCCTACCCAGAGACTGTGAGAGAGGAATGTTATTGTGACTCCTCTCTCTGAAAGAATGTAATCGTAACAATTGACTCTTTTTAAAAAATAGCTTTAAAAGAGTAAAAATTACAGTAAGTACATTAAAGCAATAATAAGAGGAAAAGCCCAAAATATGATCCACTGCCAGACACCTAGAATTAGCAACATCAATGAAAGATAATCCATGATGATACTTAGCTACTACAACATTACATTAAATCAATGTTCCCAGTTTAATTGATAAATACACATTTTAGTAGTGGGAATTTGAATTAATGATACATTGGTTTGCTTTTTGAGGCTGTTTTAATTGTTATAATAGAGAATGAAGTTTTCTTCTTTCCAACAAGGAGTGAAACCTTTTGTTTGCTAAATTTTAGGTTATGTACCTTTCCCTTCTGCATTTCAGAAGGACATTTATTCTTAGTCTTTGATAATATCTGTGTGTCTGTGTGTGAATGAAAGAGAGAGAGAGAGATTTAATATTTAATTATGAATTCTTTAATCATATGACAGATCTACTTTAAATATGTGAGAAATTAGAATGAGAGATTAGGTGGTCTGGAAAGTCCATGGACCATTGACAGAATTAAGTCTCCTGTGTTTGTTCTGACCTGCCTCTAGGCTGCTACAGCTGCACGCATCAGCATTCTCATACTGTTACTTTCCATAAGAAAATTTTAAGAATTGAGCAGGAAGTGTCTTCCAGCTCTTTCCATGATATCCTACAGATAATCAGAACAGCCAAGGCTTTTCACTGGCAGAAGCAAAATCCCCTGACAAAATACTGTACAGAAAAAAGATAGGAAGAAGCCATAATAGCAGGGATCTAGTCTTATAGCTTGAGAAAGTTTTCTTCTCACAGCTTTTTCCAAATATTTACAATGTCAACACCAATTTTGCAATGCCAGATAGATAAGTATCTTATGAAATATGTGTAACATTTTTCTGCAGTATCCATGAAGGGATTGCGCTAAGTCTGAAAGAGTGGTATTTTCTCCATGAGAACTTATATTTATGAAATACATGCAGTGGTTGATTTTGATATTAACAAATAATGTGTATTTCCTGATTACTGATGACTATTGAATCATAAGTGGAAAATTTCAGCTTGATTGAACAATAGAGTCATTGCATTGACATCTTCCGCTTTCTCAGGTCTGAATTAGATGTTGCAGATGAGTCTTGTTAGAAGATGCAATTCCATAACGTTAAAACCACCTGATGGTAATTCCACAGGCTCCTTGGATTAGGTGTAGCTTGTAAATTTGTTTTGCAATTGGACATTAGCAATTAAAACTTCTGTAAATTTAGTGTGCATTCTGATTGTTCACACACTGTGTATATTGTGTCCCTTAAGAACTAAAGAGTTTTATTCTTTTAGTGAGTTTGATTTGGCTCTCAGAGTATTTGTTTGAATCCTCAAAGAACTACTGAAGGAGTTGTGGCATTGCCTGCTTCACAAGTTTGATAAAAGTATAAAATACAGCTTTCCTAAGCTTATAAATCCAGAAGTGGTTTGGGTAAAGGATTACTCATTTTGTCTAACTTCTTGATGAACCAAGAGCTCAGTGTCCAGTATCTCTGCTGATAGGTTCTGGGCAAATGATGGTGTCAAATGGAAGGAGTAGAGGTGGCAAGCACTGTCCGCATAGGTTGCACTACACTACAGCATAGGTTGCACTACCCAGTATTGTGTGCTGTGATGGAGGTCTCCAAGGAAGTGGTCTTCCTGAGACTAGAAACAGATGTTAGAGACGGTTGGTAAATACAGAGAGAAATTCTTAATGTGAGCATGAGTATTGCAGCAGATGTTTTTCTCACCTCTGGGATTATGCAAATTAGCTTGCTCTGTATGGTGACTGGTCTTCAGGATTTAATCAAAAGACTCATTTGAAGTATGATTTCACACATAACGAAATGTTTGTCTCCTCTCTGCAATATTAATATTTTCAACTCTAATCAGGTATTGTCATTAACATCAGTCTCTTTCTGGCTACTGGCCCGTTGTCTAAGAGTAGGAAAAACCTCTGGCAGGCAGTAGTTAACCAGAGGCCACTTTAACTGACTCGAGAATTATACGGTAACCTCATTCCGGATCGACAAAGACATATTAGTAGTTGTGCACATGTGACTTCATATGCACGTCACAATGATAGAAGAATTATTGATCACATTAGCAATACTGTTGGCTGCAGCCCCACTACCAGTACTCATTTGTTAAAACAGTGTTGACTCTTAAATGACATGTATGGGAGCTCTTCTCCACATGTAATGTTCTTCGCCAGTATGTTGCTAGTCTCAGCTAGAATAAACCCATTGATTCATTTGGTTTTACTTAAGTGTTGACTAACTGTTCAGCAATTGATCAAACAGGTCTACTTTTCTTGGCCATTATCCCATTGCTAGCCCAAACCAGAGTAAACTCATTGATTCAGTGGGTTTTATGTAAGTGTTGACTTACTCTTCAGCAGTTGATTCAATGAGTCCACTGTAGCTGAGACAAGCAACTGGATATGGACTAATGATGGTTATGTTCAGATTTGTGAACCATTGTTCTTGGCAAGAATCCACCCAGAAGACTATTGGAGTTATACACATGCTTGTAAAACAGCAGATTCTAAGTACATTAAAGCAATAATAAGAGGAAAGAATCCACCCAGAAGACTATTGGAGTCATACACATGCTTGTAAAACAGCAGATTTCCCAAAGTTTAAATTATACATTTCCCCATTACTCTGGCTGTCAGTACTTGGTCAACTCCACAGGTTCCCATAACTGTTCCCGTATACTGCAAGAGACAGGCTTTGAGAGGCAAACTGAGCAGATATCAACATTGTATTTTTCCTTATACTGTATGATATCCTTTTGAAATGAGCCAAATAAACAATCTATGCGCATAAACTATCTGGGCCAGGCATTTACCACCGTGGCTATTTGGCACATGGGAGGAAGCTGCCTCCCCACTGCACAGAGCTGTAAAATCCAGTTCCTCTGATGGCTCTAGCAGTTGTGAGACTGCCAGTCAGCTAAGGTTTTCCAAGAGTTATTGTCATTGTGATTTTCAGATGAGTCATTTGGTGTATTGCCCCCAAAGGCACCTCATTATGATTCAGTGTGCAGTAGCATATAAGATTACTAAGGCTTTGGGGGCTTTGTAGTTCCAAGTGGGGGCTGTAGTTGCTCAGCATCCTGAAGTCGCGGCATTGTGCTTAATTGACACCTTTGATGTAGCCCCTAAGACAGCGCCTGCACCTCCCACTGCTGCTCGGAAGACGTCAGCTTTACGCAGAAAAGACTTCAGCTTATGAATCCTGCATCTCATTCAGCTCTCTCTGTGAGCAGCTTTGGCTATCCTTAACTAATCCCAGCGCTTCCCATTTCTGCTAGTGCCTGGGTATAGTACAAAAGCAAACATTTTCCTGCTTGGCATTATTAGGTTAAAAACTAAGTCTGTGTCCATGTTAGAACTCATAGAAGGTAAGTTAAATGCCTGATTGCTATCCTGTTATGTTTAAATGAATGCAAAAGAAATAGTTCTGATGCTTGGTAGCTGCTGCTTTTCCCCCCCTGTTGCTGATGAATATGGACTATAACCTAGCAGTGGTGTGTCTGAGGAGACATTTTATGCCGTAGTGTTTCTTTTCCTCTGTATCGCTCTCTTTATGCTTTTCAGAACATTGTTATCTTTTGCTCAGTTGCTCTATGCTCTGCCTTCCCATACGTATGGGGTTTTGCTCTCTATTTTATAGCCGACATTATGTAAATCAAGAGACGCTTGTGTATCAACAGTTTAAAAGGTCTGTTTGTATTTTAGGGGAGTCACTGAAGTGCAGTGGCTAGTGATATTGGAAATGGCAGAGCCCATGAGATTTACTGTTCTGAGTTAATGCTGGGGTCAAAGGTGCCATGCAGAAATCTATGAAAGCAAGTGACCCATTAGTTTCAACATTACTCTCCTCCCCCTTTAGAAATGTTCCTTTTCTGTTACAGCAGGGGTCTTAAATTTTGAATGGATAATAATAACAGGTATGGCACACAATTGGCACAAATGGAGTAGAAAGGATTTTATACAGAGAGCAACTGTAAAGGCAGAAAAAAATGTATGTCTTTATGTCTCTTTGCATGCAGAAAGACTCTACAGTTAAAGACAAATTTAATTTCATCAGCGTTGTGGCCACACAGTGAATACAAATTAGTTGATCACTTGTTTAAGTACAATGTAAGGCATGTGAGACTCATGCTGTAGAGATTAGTTGCTTGAGAACTACTTTATTTAATGCCTGTTATAAATGTGAAAAGTATATTTGAACTAAGTAAGATAGATAGTAAAATTACACTGGTTGTATATTTTGTTTATTTCCCGGTTGCACAAAGCTAGTTTGTTTCTTCTTTTTTCCCCTACCTTTCTAGTTAATGGAACTCCTGGTAGCCAGCTGTCTACTCCCCGCTCTGGGAAGTCTCCAAGCCCTTCTCCCACCAGCCCAGGAAGCCTGCGGAAACAGAGGGTAAGAAAACTTGAAGTTTAACAGTTGCCAACAAGAAGCCTTGATACAAAGCAGTTTTATTTAACCCAGTGGCTGATGAGTTTCCTGCCTTTAAGGGAACCCTTACCACATTGATCAACTGAAAAACCCTTTGAGATGAGGAATTTTCCTCACTGTCGTTTGTTAATCATATTCTAATTCATCTACCTGTTACCTATAATTATTTCCAAGCAAGTGACCCATTATAGGATCAATACTACTCTCCCAGTGTTGGAATATGATTATTGCCAAAATGGACATCCGTACAGGTTGGCATGGTGAGTTCCTTCTGCAGCCTTCCATTGGTTCACGACAGTTTTTCCATATTTGAGATCTCTTTTAACATAGCTTCGCATATATGAATGCATGCCGCAAGAAATTGAGTGCATATTTCCAACCACAGAACTGTTAATTGCATTCTTTACCAGTTTATTTTTAAAACTACTCATGTAAATGATTAGAATGAATGGAAGCTCTGTCAAGAGTTTACTGTGTAGATAACGGTGCAGTAACCAAAATCCAGAAATCAAGTCCAAAGTGATGTGAAATAACTATGGCTTTAGTACCCCAGAGCAAACAGGGCTTGGAAGCTGAAATCTTGTGAAGCTATTTAGAGAGATTACATTTTGCAAGTTTCCCAGGAATCCTTGCAAGTCAGCCATGGTCTGCTGCAGAAGAGTATGTTTATGCAGTGAGCCTCTTGGGCCTTCCAGCTGCCCTGCATGAACCTGAAAGACATTCAATAGTTTCTAGAGGCCACAATTTTCAGGATGGTGAGGGATGAGCAAATTTTTGAAAAAGTCCTAATAGATATAATTCATGATTTTATTGAGAAGTTTGTAATAAACTTCTAAGAAATTCGAAGGTTCCTCAGAATACCTATTGAAAATAATTGTCTCCTATATGCATAGCGCCCAGTGTGATATAGTGGATAGAGTGACAGACTAGGGTGCAAGAGGCCTTGGTTTGTATCCTTATTCAGCCATGGAAGATCACTGAGGGTGTGGGACTGGTAAAACCACTCCTGAAATATCTCACGTACCTTGAAAGCCCCATTAGGTTTGCTATAAGACAGTTCCAACTTGACAGCACATAACAACAACAAACAGGCATAGCATCCCCAGTGTGCAGTTCTTGTTTGGAAGCTGTTTGTGTGAACACATTAATAACCAAAGGTCTACCACATTTGGCATTGTTGAAAAGCATCTCCTTACAATAACCTTTTTCTTTAGTGACATTGCAGTTAAATCCAAGAGTAAGTTGCAACTAGAGTAGGCCCATTGAATCGCTAGAACTTTTATAGGTGTTGACTTGCCAAATTTCCACTGATTTAATAGGTCTACCTTAGTTGCAATACACTACTGTATTTCAGACCATGTTTTATTGCAAAGCGTTTCCGTTTTGGAAATTGATGTTAGACTTCTGATGCCTTTCCTATACAGTGGTGCCTCACTTGATGATGTTAATTCGTTGCATCAAAATCGCTGTAGAGCGAAAACATCGTCAAACAAAACAAAAAAGCCCATTGAAACGCATTGAAAACCGTTCAGTGTGTTACAATGGGCTGAATACATGCTTGTCCAGCGAAGATCCTCCATACGGCAGCCATTTTCGGTGCCTGTAAAGTGAGGAATCCATCCTAGAAAACAGTGGGGGCCATTTTCTTCAGCCGGTGGCCATTTTGAAACCCGACGATCAGCTGTTTGCTGATCATCGTAAAGCGAAAATTGGTTCCCAAAGCAGGGAACCGATCATTGTTAAATGAAAAAAAAAACCATTTAAAACATCGTTTTGCGATCGCAAAAGCAATCGCAAAAACCTAATTATATAGCAATTTCCTCGTTAATCAAGGCAATCGTTAAGTGAGGCACGACTGTACTTCATTCCATAGTAAATTGAGTAAGAATACTAATGTCATATTTTAAAGGTAGGCTAATGAACTCTAATGTGCTAAAAGAACCAATAGTAAGCTTCTCCCACAAGCTAAGTGGAATAAAAATGAAAAACAAATGATTTAATATTGCAAAGGAGAAAAGTACAATGATAATCAGTCTTCAATAGCAGTAATAGCTATATCCATATTTTAACATAATATAAAGCACTATAAGTTGTATTGATTACACATCTGCTGGATATGAGAGGTCTGATCTGGATATGAGAGGTCTGATCTGAACAATCAGTTAATCAAATCCATGTTAGTTGGAAAAAATACCTCTGTTGTTGAATTCAATCAAAACATTCCAATAATACCTCCCTTAATGCAGCACACACATGTCTCTCATATTCTGTTGACTAACATGGTTACATCCATCTTTTAGTTGAACTAATCTAATCTAACAGTATGTTGACTAACATGGTTACATCCATCTTTTTGTTGAACTAATCTAATAATGATGGTACATAATGTCAAGATCTTGTTGATGCTATAACTAAGTCTGATCAATGTCTGAATGGGAAACTGTTTGAGAACCTTGTGTATGCCATGTTCAGCTTCTTGGGTGAAAGATGGGAAATAAATGGAATGAACTGCTGAGTTTGCCTGCTGGTTATGGAAGACTGGTATTGAGATGATCCAGTTTTGCTATAGAATTTTGGTAGTGAAGCCACAGTGAGGCAGGTGCCAAGGCTTATATTATTGGGCACGTGCTAAATCTCAGTCTCCAATACTGGTATTGAGATGATCCAGTTTTGCTATGAGAATTTTGGTAGTGAAGCCATAGTGAGGCAGGTGCCAAGGCTTATATCACTGGGCACGTGCTAAATCTCAGTCTCCAACAGAGGGCCTTTCCACTCTGAGATTAGAACCTCAGATTATGAGAGGCTCTAAACACAATGCTATACTGAAAAATAATCAAACTTCAAGTTGTAAATTTATAACTGGAAATGTACATAGCAATAATACCAATTAATTGTATATGAATGGATAGGTACATAACAATAACGTACATCACAAACATTCGTGGCATTTAAATAATAATAAATGAATTGTCCTTTCTGTTAAATTGATATATCAGAAATTGACTGAGCTATAGGGTGTCTTGAATTTGATGTATCGTAGGCCCTCAGTGCATTTTAATCCATTCCTACACAGAATAGATGATAGAATCAAATTTTAGAAGGCAGAGTTCAGAAATTTTAAGTCAAGAATAGGGCAAGTCTAAGGAGAGGAACTGTGTCAAAAGTTTCTGAGAGATTCAAACATTGCTCCTCCATACCGAGGTTGTTGAGAAAGCCCCTGGTTGCCACTTATGAGAGCCAATGGGATGTAGTGGATAGAGTATTAAATTGGGACTCGAGAGACTTGGGTTCATATCAGCCATGGAAACACAGTGGAGAAGATTTTACCTATTAGGGTCACCATAAATAGGAATCAACCTGATGGCATATAACATACTTCCATACAAACTACAGTGGGGAGTTTTTCATCTTCTTGTCTAAAGCTCCAAAGTAGGTCATACTGATTAAAGAAAACATGGTTTGTGGCTCTATCTGAATGCAACCAGTGACAGAAACTGAAAAATATAGTCAAACATGAAACGAAAATATAGCACAAGAGACAGGGTGGTGGTGTAAAAGGAACTTGAGTCTTTTGTTGAAATTGCTGAGCATGGGGAAAGTGTAGGTATAACCAGAAAAAAAAATCAAATTGGGTTGATTACTTGAAAGCCTAGAAATATTGATGGAGAGTTCAAGGTTACATCTGGGTTATTTCTTCTGTTGTGATCTTCTACAGTTTTTACCACCAAAAAGGGTTGTATAGAACAGAAAAGAAAACCACTAAAAATAGCAGACAAACATCAGCCAGTTAGAGGCTGTGACACAGAAACATTGGTATGATCTTAACATTACAGGCATTAGCATGTCTATTCTTTCCTACTGGAACTCCATTCTTTTGCTTCTGCAAGTTTGTACAGCTCCAAACTTGTTGATCTTAACTATGGTTTAGGGTGGCCTTCTTTATCTTGGTGCTATCCAGATAGTTGGAATTACAACCCCTATCCCTCCTGACTATTGGCTGTGCTTGGTGCGGCAGACGGAAGCTATAGTTTGAAATGTGTGGAGAGCACCAATTTGGGAAAGACCAGTTTTGTAAACCATGGTTTATGAAACTGGCCTACATTTTTAAATAATAGTTAAACTACAGTTTGACCATCTCTATTGATAACTTAGAAAGTTAAAAACAGAAGCAAATGATACCATTTCCTACTTATAGCTTCATCAGAGGAGAAGGGTATGAAAAGCTGATGAGACAAGAGGCTCATTCATATAAATCGTAGTTTAAAGTTGCATCCAAATTAGATCATAATTTTACAGGCCTGGATGGGTGGTGGTGTCCCAGTCAGAGTTTATTGTCCGTTTCTAAATTCTAACTTTCAAGAAATCTCTTTTGAATGTTTGCATAGTTGTAAGTTGAATTACGCAATTTACTGCAACATTCATTTTGGTACTGCCTCTTCAGTATTTTTTGTACTGTTACATTGTTGCCTTCAAAGAAAATGGAAAGTATTATCAGTGCAAAATTTAGTAAGAGAACCAACTGAAGTGTTGTGAACATCAGAAGCAGAAGCAGTAGTTCTACTGTGGTGTAGTATACTTAAGTATTTTCGTCCAGTTCATACATGGTGAACAGTCCTGTCTTTTATTTTGTTCTTTGTGCAGCTGCCTACATAGGCACTAGACTGTGTAGACAAGTATCAATCAATCATGGAGAGAGTGAGGGTTCTAAAAATTACCATTATGGGAGCAAACATGTTCATAGCTGTGTCTTTCACCAGTTCGGGTGTGCGGTGTATGCGACTATTTCAGTTGGAAGTGGGATTAATTTTGCTTTTAAAACAATTTTTTTCCAAGTGTTAACTGGGTCTTTTGGCATCAAGATATGGGGATGAATGAACTCATAGAGTCAACAAAGATAGTGTAGTGATTCTGTCATGAATGATCACACAGAAATAAATTTGGGACCTAATTTTCCAAAACATCCT